CACCAAACGAGGAATAGAAATACCATATGACTCAGCAATTCCTCTACTTGATATTTAATCTAAAGAAATATAGAACAGCATGAGCAGATATGTAGTTAAAGCAATATTCATTGCAGTCATCCAAGATATCAAGATGGAAACCGTCTAAAAGCCCATCAGTGGAAGCTTAAACTTTGGTATATGCACAAAATGGAGTACTATACATAAAGGATAATGATGAAACTGCAAAATGTCTTAAGACATAGTAGATGGATTTGGAGGACATTATTCTGAGTGAAGTTACTCTCTTACTGCTATTGAGGCAATACTGACTCAGAAACCCTATAGGACGGGGTAGAACTACCCCTGTGGGCTTCCGAGACTAACTCTATAGGACTAGAAAGCATCTTCTTTCTAGTCCCCTTCGTGTTTTCCAACGGATGACCTTGCAGTTAGCAGCTCAATGCACAGCTTTCCCTTAATAGACCTATCTATTGATGGACTGAAAATTGAGCCACACCGAGTTCAGTTTCACCAGGCTCTTTTTGACTAACAAGCCCTATCTTTTTCATTATTTTGAATTTTGTTCTATCCAGGATCTTTTAATAAATGATCGTTTTTAGGGCAGTTGGTAGTAGTAGCGGAGCACCACTGGTCTCAGAGTCACGGCAACTGGCGTTTGCATGATCCGTGAGTCTGCTGGACTCATCGTTTCCAGTAGAAAATCAGTGCCTTTGATTTTCATCCCTCTTCTTTCCAATGGACAGAGAGAGGCCAATGTGTGCACCTCAGATGGCTGTTCTTGAGCTTTGAAGAACCCAGTCACCATTCCCCTAAGTAGGAAGTAGAAATTTTAATTTGTGAGCTATGTTATGCCAGTTGATCTTGGTGCCCTCTGAAACTATGGTCCTGATCCCCTACACCGGCAGTTCTTAACCTGTGGGTCGCAACCCCTTTGGCGGGGTGGGGTGGGGTGTCGAACGACCCTTTCACAGGGGTTGCCCGATTCATAACCGTAGCAAAATTACAGTTATGAAGTAGCAACGAAAACCATTTTTATGGTCGGGGGCGGGTCACCACAACACGAGGAACTGTAATAAAGGGTCATAGCATGAGGAAGGTTGAGATCCACTGGGCCTACAATTAACTGATCCCCTTGGCCCAGCAACTCATTACATTAAGATGTTTGGCCTATTTCTAAGGTTTTCATAACTTTGCCCCCTGTATGCATCACCATATTCATGGATATATTTGCAACAGGTAAATATGTACAATATTCTGTCAGACCAATATATCTCTAGGTATCTTCTCACTCTTCCTCCCTGTGTATCTGTTCATTTATTTACTATCATTCAACCTGTGTGGCTTTCTATCCTGTATCTATTCATAGATCACTGTTATTTCAGGATTGTATATAGACCCATATTTACTTCTGTTGCCTTAAACTCTGTACCCCTTCTGTTATCTTTCCTTGCCATCTTCACTCTGTGTATTGCCTTCCCCGTTACCAAGTTCTTGAAATCTGCTTGGCCTCCTATCTGTTTGGAAGCATTGTAATGACATCATTTCTTTTTACTTTGTCTTATTTACAGATAGCTCTGGTTCCCGGTTTTCAGTCTTGTAGGCTTATTTTACCTTGGATACTTATGTATCTGGCTTGACTTCTGGGTGTTGTCATGTATGTTAATCCCAGGTGGTTGTTTGCCATTGTTCTCTATCTGAAGAATTTTCTCTTTTTTTTTTCCCCCCCTGAAGAATTATCTTTAGTGTCTCTTGTATGGTTAGTGTGGTGTTTACAAATTCTTTTAGTTTCTATTTGGAAATTCTTGATCTTACTGTCATATATGAGGGATAGTTTTGCTGCACGTATGACTTGGTTGGCAATATTTTTCTTTTAGAGTTTAATAGATGTTATCCTATTGCCTTCTTGCCTGCATGGTCTCTGCTGAGAAATCAAAGCTTAGTTTTATTGATTCCCCCCCACCCCACCCCCGTATTAGGTAGTTTTTAATTTACCAGGCTGCTCCCAGGAGTCTTTGTCACTGGTTTTAGAAAATTTGAATATGATAGGCTGTTGTGATTTTCTTTTGGACTCAGTCCTGTTTGGAGTTTGCCCAGCTTCTCGAGCGCACGTTTTCATCTTTCATGATGTTAGGGAAGTTTTCTTCCAATAACTGTTTGATAATGTTTTCCTGTCCTTTTTTTTTTTTGCCTCTTCGAGCAAATGTAGGTTATTTCAAGCATATGTAGGTTATTCTTTTTGTTGGTTGCACATAATTTTTAGATTTTTAGATATTTTTCCCTTTTATGCTGATGATTATTCTAGCCGATTAATATTTAGAAATTTGTCTTCAAGTGCACTAGTTTGCCTTCTGTGATTTCAGTTCTTTTTTTGATGTACTATCTATTTCTGAAATCTTAGTATTAATCTTCTGTATTTCTATTTTTGCATGGCTTTTAATTTTCATTTACTTAGTTCTTGTAGTGTTTTCCTGAGTTCTTCTAAATATTTTCTTTGATTTCATCTGCAATAGTAAAGACTACTCTCTCTCAGTCTAATAGTAAAGATCTTTCTCTCAGTCTGTTGAAAGTAACTAAATATCGTGTGCGCATAATTCTTTATTTGCTATTCATGAGTTTGGCTGGTGTTGGCTGCTGCCTTTTACTGGCGGTCAGGTAGAACAGAGTGGGTAGTGGCCCTTGTCCAGTAGATAGGGCTACAGAAGGTGCAAGTGTGACTGGACTGTGTGGGCAGTTACTGTTTCCTATTGGTGGAACAAGACAAAAAGAAACATAATCAAATGATAGCATAAATAAATAAATAAGTGAGCGAAAGCAGGCGATAGCAAAAAAAATTAACACTTAAAAAGGAAAGGGAAATAAAAATAAGGGGAAGAGGAAAAAATAAACTAAGGGGTAAAAAGAGCAAAATAGTAAAGAAAAAAATTAAAGGAGATAAGGGGAAAAAAGAAATAGAAGAGAAGAAAAATGGAAAGTAGAGAAAGGAAACTACGTAATCTGTCCCCTTAAATTAGAGGAGGTCATGCCCCAACCCCACACCATTTTACAGAAGATTGAGATTAATCTGGTTTTTAGCAAGGAACCAAATACTCTGAAGTGATACGTGTTTGTTGAATTTAAAAGTAAAAGGCAGATTTCTGGAGAGAAGGGATTCCGTAACCATAGTAGATGACATTGACTTAATCTCCAAGATGCTAGTCATGCTGCTCATCTGCGCTGTTGATTTTAACTGTCCTGTTTTTGAGAGGCAAGAAGAAGACTTGGAGATGTTTTCTCTGATCCAAGAAAGAAACTTGAAACTCAACATAACACCTCTGTTAATTCCTCTCAGCAACCCAAATCTTCCCTGTGCTCCTCAACAGCCGATGTCCCATTTCCTCAACTAACTCCCTTAAATCACGATAAAGCATAAAGGATGGCAGATGAAAGGTGGAATAAGAAGACTATCAAGACTGCTGAGCTACCTCGAATACCTGATACTTCATAGTTAACACTACTTATTGACTGACATAGGCTAGTCTTAAAGTAGGCATCAGAGTTGAGTTGTACCCCATAATACATTGATACAAGATAGCACCTGTTCTTTAGCTGGAACTGAAGTATCTTGTTAGCTCTAGAATCAGAGTCTAGGGAGGAAGCAAAGACATGCATCAGATGAGGCCAAGTAAGCGAATTTTTTTCTTCTTTATTCTCAGGGAAACCCTTTAGTTACTGTCCCTCTGTCAGAAAAATAAAGAGGTCTGGACAAAGCTTGTTAATAGATCGACGGTTCTTCTGAAAAGTCTCACACTGTTCCAAATTACTTTATCTGGTTTCTTAACGGAATCCAGCAAAAAATGCCTGTTTAGGCTGTGAAGTAGCTGTTTGCCTAGATTGGCTGTTTGTTTTGATTCCATTGATGTGTAATAGTAATTGTGTATGATGCATTAGATTCCCCCATGTCACTGAGAGGATTTCAACTTGTAGTGGTTTTCTGAGGCTTTGTAAGTTTTTAAAAAATTATTTTATTGGGGTGTGTGTGTGTGTGTGTACAACTCTGTCCCAATCCATTCATCCATTGTGTCAAGCACATTTATACATTTGTTGCCCTCATCATTCTCAAAACATTTGCTTTTTACTTGAGCCGTTGGTATCAGCTCATTTCCCCCCCTCCTTTCCCGCCCCCGCCCCGAACCCTTGATAATTTATAAATTATTTTGTCATGTTTTACACTGTCCGACGTCTCCCTTCACCCACTTTTCTGTTGTCTGTCCCCCAGGGAGGGGGTTGTATGGAGATCCTCATGATCGGTTTCCCCTTTCTACCCTACCTTTATCTTCACCCTACCTTTATCTTCACCCTACCTTTATCTTCACCCTCCAGATATCACCAATCCCACCACTGGTCCTGAAGGGTTCATCTGTCCTGGATTCCCTATGTTTCCAGTTCCTATTTGTACCAGTGTACATCCTCTGGTCTAGCCGGATTTGTAAGGTAGAATTGGGATCATGATAGTGGATGGGGAGGAAGCGTTTAGGAACCAGAGGAAAGTTATATGTTTCATCAGTGCTACACTGCACCCTGATTCGCTCTGTCTCTTCCCTGCGACCCTTCAGTAATAGGATGTCCAGTTTCCTACAGATGGGCTCTGGGTCCCCACTCCGCACTCCCCTCATTCACAATGATAAGGTTTTTTGTTCTTTGATGCCTGATACCTGATCCCAGAGAAGCACACCAACTTTGTAAGTTTTTACGAGAGCAGAAAACCCATCTGTCTTGAGAAGCAATTGATGGGTTTGAGCTTGGCAGTTCACAGCCCACCACTTACCAACAGCACCGCCAGGGCTCCTTGTGTCAGATCAGCCATTGTGATGCTGAGATTCCAACCTCAATTCTGTTGTTACCAGGCTTCTTTGCATTTTGCACAGGTAACTCGCTTGATTGTCATCTTAAGATATAAATTAATTGACAGCCTTTGCTCCAAACCCGCCTCTGTGGTGTGTCTCTCTGTGTCATATTAGCAGCAAGAACCAGTGTTCCATAAAGGATAATAGTTTCCAGTACACTATCCCTCATGATGACTCCTTCAGTGCTTCTTCATCTGCCTCTTCATGTGAAGCAATCAATGATTTTCCAACATCCTTCCGAAAATCTGCCACCTACTTGAAGAAGATTAGAAGGATCAAACCCCCTGCTGCTTCACGTGTTGAAGGTATTAGTACTGATATCTTATTCCAAAGACCAGAGTACTCTCTAAAGTAAGGTGACCAGATTTAAAGCGGGACACCATTGACCGGGGGTGGGGGTGGGAGGGTGGTTCTTGATTAGAAATTTGGTCTATATGGACCAAATAGACCGTTCCCTAGCTTATTGTGCATTCTTTCCAAAAATCGGGACTTTTTTGAAACACCAAAAATCGGGACTGTCCCGCCCAAAGCGGGACATTTGGTCACCTTACTCTAAAGTTATATTTGAAGTAGATCCTGTCAAAAGCTCTAAAAGTATTAAATGACCCATATGTGTGCCTCAAATGATTAAACATTGTTTGGGTGTTAGGCTAACTCACTGTTAACTTCGTGAACCGCTCCTTTGTTTTGCAGAGTGAAATTCTGATTTTACCCCTTTATTCACAGTATCAGTCTTTTCATAGGATTGGAACTTCCCTCTCAGTTTGCCCTTTGGTGAAAGGTGTGAGGGCTTGGCGTAAGGGTTGTTCTGGGTAGAATATTCTAGGTGTTCCTAGTCTCAAGGGCTCTTGATTCTTTTGCTTCACTGTTGGCCCCAAATCAAGATTTTAAATAGCACACCACCTGTGAGTTCTTCTTGCCCCTTCAGGGTGTTCAAGAGGAAGAGCCATACAAAGGAAAAGATTCAATTGGACCATTCAATGAGAATGTTATCGATATCAACTTCCCATAAAAAATTCAAATGGTTTCTGTGAGGTGCCTCTTGACTATGCCCTTTCCTTTGGGTGGTTTTGTGAGTAGTATTTTCAAGGCAGACCCCGATGTTCGTTTACAAATCATACGTGTGTGTGTGTGGGGGGGGGTATTTTAGGCTCAGGTGGAGCATCAACCAAAGGAAAAAAGAAACCAAGGCAGGAAGAAGATGAAGATGAAGATTATAGACAATTCCCTCAGAAGAAGCATAACCTTTACGGTAAGGGACTAACTTTGCTACTCTTTCTTCTTGGGTGACTAGTTTTCTTCCTTACAGGCCTTCGAAGAGGCGGGGAGACCTTAGGTTTTGGCCCTTATGAGTTCTTTGAATTTGGGGGCGAGGAATGCCCTTTATCATGCCTTATTTTATACCCTTTTACTCTAAGGACTTACGAGAGTTTGTCACTTGAGGGAACGGCATTGGGTGCTGAGGGAGGAGATTTGGTGATACAGAGGGCTAAGCAGAGGTGAGAATATTGGGCTTCAAGTTTCTGTCTTTTATCAGGGAGGAAACAACGACCTAAACCCCAGCCAAGCCCCAAGCCCCAGCCTCGTCGTGTTCGGAAGGAACCGCCAACTTATGCCGCAGGTATGCTTTCTGATGGAAGGTGTGTGGACCCTCATTCTCTGGCTGTGATTTGTTGTTGTCTTGAGAATGCTGGTGTGCTAAAGCAGATCATGAAGGAAGTAGTTGTAAAGGGCGTAGGTTTGGAGTTCAGGCAGACTCTTATGTGACTCTCGGGTCTGTTTCCTTATGTTGTTGTATGTCGTGTCTCACTTTCTCCATGATGTATGTCATTGAGTCAGTTTTGGCCCCTAGTGACAGAGTAGACACGCCCCTGGGGCTTTCTAAGACGTAATCTTTATGGACACAGGCTGTCGTATCTGTTCCCCACAAAGCTACTACTTAAGTTTGAACCATCAAACTTTTGGTTCACAGCCAAGCACTTAACCACTGGGCTCCTTTCCCCTGTCTGTAAATAAATTAAAGGCCAAACTCCCTGCCATCCAGTAGAAAACCTTTTCTCCTTCGAGTGGCCGTTCACTTTGAACTGATGACCTTGTCATTGGCAGCTCAATGTGAGACCCATTACACCACGAGGGTGGCTCAGAGTAGGGATAATAAAAGCAGTCAGGAGTGTTGTGAACATTCAGTGAGACAAAGACATTTTGGTAGTTTACTTTTTTCCCCCAAAAACAGTGTAGCGACGTCAGATTATACTTTCAGTATTCTAGAAGACCCAGTGGAACTAGTTTTTATTTCATATGTATGTTTTACAGTTCAGTAGATACAGACATTTTGAATAGTATCAGTATATAGGAAGCTCAACAGGCTGGCTGTTAAGTATCTCAGTATCCCATTGCTGTATCCTGCTATGGAAACTCTTGAGCAGTTCTGTAAGATGTTTGCCTTTTTTGTGGTTCTAAGATGTTTTTTTTATCATGGAGAAATGAGTAAGGGTTTCAGAAGAAACGCTTCCTTGTCTAGAAATTAAAAAAAGAAAATTGTAGAAGCTATACATAGCAAGAGTCTCTAATTGTCTGCCAGGGAACTGAAAACCATTGTATGTGCTATTTTCCATGAGATCTGAGATTATACTTTTTGTTTCTACAAATTACCTGTCTGTTGTAGATTATGAAGTGTTCTTTCTCTCTTTTGTAGGCAGTGTGGAGGAGCAGTGGTACTTAGAAATCATGGATAAGGGCAGTGTCTCCTGCCCTACCTGCCAGTCAGTGGGGAGAAAAACCATAGAAGGTTTAAAGAAACACATGGAAAACTGCAGACAGGTTAGGATCCGTAACTGCTAGGATCTTTTATTAAAATTTTAGACTGAGTACTCTGTTAGGTATGCTATTGTAGTGGATAAGAGGCAACATTGTGTAATCCAGAAATTGTAGCCTTTAGAATCAGACAGATCTAGATTTGAATCCTTACTCAGCCTCTTTAGGTTGGTTTTTTTAATTGTACAAACCTTGGTTTCTTCATTTGTAAAAGGGAGAAAAATAATAGCCACCTTGTGTGGCCATGGTTATTTTCATTGGTTTTATATGTGAAAGTTAGACATTGAATAAGAAAGATTGAAGAAAAAAAAAATCGATGTATTTGAATTATGGTGCTGGTGACGAATACCGAAAGTACCGTGAACTGCCAAAAGAATGAACCAGTGTGACTTGGAAGAAGTGCAGCCAGAATTCTTAGAGGCAAGGATGGCAAGATTTTGATTCACGTTCTTTGGACATGTTGTCAAGCAAACCCAGTCCCTGCAGAAGGACGGCATGCTCGGTAAAGCGGAGGGGCAGCATAAAAGTGGAAGGCCCTTGACAGGGCAGCCAAGACACAGAAGCCACAACAATGGGCTCCAATCGAAGAGCCCTTTTGAAGATGGCCCAGGACCCTGTGTGTGTTTTGTTCTTTTGTAAGTAGGGTCACTGTGAGTCAGTAACCACCCCACCACCACCTTCAGCAGTCCAAGTGAAGATAGAAAGAAATAATACATACCAATGCCCTGGCATAGTGACACTCATTAATCAAAAAACCCCAACCCCTGCTATCAAGTTGATGCCAACGCGTAGCAATCCCATGTAGCTTTTCCGAGGCTGTAAGTCTTCATGGCAGTGGCTGGGTTTGGACCATCCACCCTTTGGTTAGCAATTGGACCACATAGCACTACTAGGATTCCTTACTTAGTAAATAGTTCTTGTTGTTGAAAAATGAATTACTCTTTAACTTCTTTGCCCTTGAGCATGGCACTGAGCCTGTGAGATTTGAAGATTCATTGACTACTGAGTTTAAGACGCGAAGGAGACAGACCCAAGAGCATTTTGAGAAGAGCTGGATGACCTGGTTTTCTGACCGCCCGGTATTGAGTCGGAAGTTTTCCTTTCAGGAACTGTTTACTTGCCACCATTGTGGGAAACAGCTGCGTTCTATGGCAGGGATGAAGTACCACGTCATGGCAAATCATAACAGTTTGGTAAGCATGTCTTCTGTGAACCTCTGATGTTTAGATGTCTCTTATGGGAAGAGAGATAGCTCAGTGGAAGTGGCTAAGACTCAGCGACTTTATAGGAATATGAGTAAGAGACCATTTTGATAAAACTTTCTGGGATGGAATCCATAGGGAATTGTACCTCTAAGTGAGCCACAAAAAGTCCTGTGGGTTAGAGGCTCAGAATTCGTACTTCCATTGCATTCACTTCCTTGTCTGTCTGCAAGAAGATGGAGAGAGCCACATGTCAGATAACAGCCTTGGATGAGCACCAGCTTAGCTGCTAGTCCAGTCCTTGATTCTCCTATAACAATTTTCTCTTGTCTTTCCCATAAGTCATCTGTTTGTGTGCTTCCCTTGTTTTCTAGCCCATTTTGAAGGCTGGTGGTGAACTAGATGAGCCAAGTGAGAGAGAACGCCTCCGAACAGTGCTGAAGAGACTGGGGAAGATCAGGTGCATGCGTGAGGTAAGAGCCCAAGGCCGGTCACTCCTCCCTGCAGGCTCAGGTCAGTGTCTTTCTCTTTTCCGGTTTCCTTTGACTCCCTTTTAAGTCTTTTCTTTCTGTGTATTTGGTATCATAGGCTGCCTTTGGCTTTTCTAGGTCTCCTAAACTCAAAAGTAGTTGTTTACAGTTTCTTTTCCTCAGCCCGGGTTTATTTTTAATCTCCTTTTTCTTTTGTTCTAATGCTCAACGTGTGGGTTCTCAACGTGTGGGTCACGACCTTTTGGGGGGGTCAAATGACCCTTTCACAGGGGTCACCCAATTCATAACAGTAGCAAAATTACAGTGATGAAGTAGCAACAAAAATAATTTTATGGTGGGGGGGTCACCACAACATGAGGGACTGTATTAAAGGGTCGCGGCATTAGGAAGATTGAGAACCACTGTTTCAAGGGGTCTTTAGCATCTTCAGTGTGTCGAAGACGATCCCACAGCCTCATGTGATGAGTTTTAATGCTGTGGCACTGTTGATTCTGGGGCGGGGCTGGATCAGAGCACTAGGAGGAAGCTCTGCCACAGAGGATAGATCCAGTCACTTTGTTGAAAGCCAACTACCACCGTACATCGATTGCCTATCATTGATAGGACAGTTGTTGCGCCAGGGACATGAACGTGTTTTTCCAATGGGAAATGTTGGCAGAGTCTAATAACAGCAGGGGGCCTGTTTATATGCTGCAGCGATAAGTGATTTGTAACTGTTTTGACATTTGGTAATCCTGTTACAAGGTGTTCAGATGACAGTTTTGGTCTCTCCTGTGTTCAGAGTTGCTCTAGTAGCTTCACCAGCATCATGGGCTATATGTACCACGTCAGAAAATGCGGCAAAGCGGCCTCAGAGCTGGAGAAGATGACCCTGAAATGTCAGCACTGTGCAAAGCCGTATAGGTCGAAGGCTGGGCTTGCGTATCACCTGAGGTCAGAGCACGGGCCTGTGAGTACTGATCCCTTTCCAGACCCTGTTCGGATGTATTCTGTGGTGACTGCAAACCCCTACCCTACATCTTTCCATATCCCTTCACTTCCTCGTTTGTATCCCTTTTCAGTCTTTGAATGCTTTTGTTCCCTCTTCTTTTGTCTACTATTTCTGCCTTTTGAACATTGTATTATTGAGTTAGAAAAGCAAAAGTTCAGTGTGTGGTATGGGACAGAAGTAAGGTCAGTTTTCAGGCTGAAAGCCTTCCACTTAGCACGGAGTTTTGTGTCTGAGTCTGCCCCAACTAATTCCTCTTTTGCAGTTTTTGAAAAATGATCTTGACTTTTTATCCTGATTAGATTTCCAGGCTCTGCCCTCCCCATTGTTCTCGCATGCAGTTCCTTTTAGAATGGAGTTTATTAAGGCATAACTTACGTGTGGTAATATCCACCCGTTTCAGTGTACAGTTTGAGGAGTTTTGACAATCCTTGCCGTGTAGCTCCCGCCACAACAAATACAGAACCGTTGGTCACACCCAGTATCAGATTAGCTCTTGCCCCTTTCAAAAAAATCCTCTTTGTACTCAGTCTCGGGGTCATCCCGCCTCTGCAACCACTAATGTAGACACAGTGAAACTGTATTCTGCCCCTGTAGTTTTGCCTTTTCCTGGATGTCATATAAGTGGAATCATCTCCCCTAGAGCTCCTTCCAGTCTGTGTGCTTTCATGCATTGTTTGGGAATGCATCAGATTCACTGTTGATGTTGTCTGCCTCATTCGTTTATGTTCCTCTCTACATGTTAGTTGTCTTCCACTGTATGAAAATTTAGTAGCTTTTCCACTCACCAGATGAAGAACATCTGCATGGTTTCCAGTTTGGGGAAATTTAAATAAAACTGCTATAAACATTCCCTTAAGGTTTGTGTGGAATTCGATTTTAATTTCTCTTGAGTAAGTACTTAGGAATGGGCTCAGTGGGTGTATGATTCGTGTATGTTGAAGTTTATAAAGAACTGCCAAAATCTTCCAAAGTGGCTGTGCCAGTATGCGTTCCCAGCGGCAAAATAGGAGAATTCTGGTTGCTCTGCATCCTTGCCAGCCCTTCATAGTCAGCAGTTTTATTTATTTGTAAAAGCTCTTCTAACAGATGTGTAGTAGCATTTTATTATGGCTTTAATTTGCAATTTCCTACTCACTAATGAGACTACTTAAATGACCATCTTTTCATTTGCTTTTTAG